TAACATGGAGTTGGAGAGTGTAGCCTATGATAGGTGGGTTTTGCTAGCAAGAATTGAGGAGAAAGTAATAAGTCAAAGAGCTAAGATACACTGGCTGGAAGTTGGTGATGGAAATAATAAATGTTTTCATCGAGCTGCAAAAATAAGAGAAGTTCGTAACTCTATAAGGGAAATCAAGAGGGCTGATGGCACTCTCGCTGATAATCAAGAGGAGATTAAAAGGGAAGCTGTGATCCATTCTACAAGTTTCTTACTCATATTCCTACTGAGTATGAAGGTGCTAGCGCGGATGAGTTAAAGTCTTTACTTGATTTTGAATGTTCTGAGGATGATCGAAGGATGTTGATTAGAGAAGTGACGATGGAGGTGAAGAAGGTGCTTTTCTCTATGGCAGCAGATAAGTCTCCCGGTCTTGATGGTTATACTATAGAATTCTTCAAGGCCACCTGGTTAATTACGGGAAAAGATTTTGTTATAGCTGTTCAATCGTTCTTTGATAAAGGGTTTCTTCCTAAAGGTATCAACTCTACCATCCTGGCTCTCATTCCGAAAACTAGTAAGGCTGAAACCATGAAAGATTATCGTCCCATATCGTGCTGCAATGTGATATATAAGGTGATTTCAAAAATTATTGCTAACCGTATGAAGCTTCTGTTGCCCTTATTCATCTCCCTTAACCAATCTGCATTTGTTAAGGATAGATTGATAATGGAAAATGTGCTGCTTGCTTCTGAACTGGTGAAGAACTACCATAAGGATTCTGTTTCTGATAGGTGTTCTATTAAGATTGACATTTCTAAAGCTTTTGACTCCATGCAATGGTCTTTTCTGCTCAATGTTCTGGAAGCTCTGTATTTCCCTGCTAAATTCATTGTCTGGATTAAGAAATGTATAGAGCTGGCTTCTTTCTCTATACAGGTTAATGGTGAGCTTGCTAGGTATTTTAATAGTAAGAGGGGTTGAGACAAGGATGTTCATTATCGCCATATCTTTTTGTGATATGTATGCAGGTTCTCTCTAAACTTCTTGATAAAGCGGCAGTGCAGGGACACATGGGTTATCATCCTTATTGTAGGGATTTGAGACTGACGCACATTTGTTTTGCGGATGATGTGCTTGTTTTTTCTGATGGTAAGAAGAACTCTATTGAAGGCATATTGAAGGTGTTTAAGAAGTTTGCAAAGATATCTGGATTATCTATAAGTCTTGAGAAGTCTACGCTTTATTTGGCTGGTGTTAAAGCTGAAGATAGTGAGGATATATTGGAGCAATTTCCTTTTGAAGCTGGCTCATTACCGGTGAGATATTTGGGTTTGCCACTTCTTACTAAGAAGATGAATGTTCAAGACTATAGCCCTCTTATTGCTCAGATAATATCTCGTATTTCTTCTTGGACGGCTAGGCATTTTTCGTTTGCGGGTCGCCTTCAGCTTATAGGTTCTGTATTATACAGCATTATTAACTTTTGGATGTCAGCTTATCGTTTTCCTAAAGCGTGCATAAAGGAAATTAATAGCATCTGTGGGGCTTTTCTTTGGTCTGGTCCGGTGTTATCGTCTAATAAAGCAAAGGTCTCATGGTATGATGTTTGTACGCCAAAGGATGAAGATGGTATTGGGTTGAGAAATCTTAATGATGCAAATAAGGTTACTTGCCTGAAGCTTATTTGGTGAATATTATCGAGCAAGAACTCTTTGTGGGTTAAATGGATATGGAAATATCTTATAAGGAAAAGTTCTTTTTGGAGTATAAAGGAGAGTAGTAGTTTGGGATCTTGGATGTGGAAAAAGTTGTTGAAGTTAAGGCCTGAAGCTTATCAGTTTTACCAAATGGAGATTAATAGTGGTAATACGACTTTATTTTGGTTGGATAAATGGTCTTCTCTTGGTAAGTTGATTGATATTACATGAGAGAGGGGTTGCGCTGTTCTTGGTATTCCTCTGTATTCTACTATTGAGAGAGCAATGCAGTTGTACAAAAGTAGATTGCATAGAATTCCTGTTTATCGTCAAATCGATCAGGAAATTATTAAGCTGAAGCGTCAAGGTCTTAACAGGAAGGATGATGTTTGTCTTTGGAAGCAAGACAATGGGGATTTTTAAGCTATTTTCTTCACTTCTCAAACTTGGAATCAGGTTAGATTTCGATGTCCTAAAGTTCAGTGGAGCAAAGGCATTTGGTTTAAGGAAGCCACTCCTCGTTTTGCTTTTCTTGCTTGGATTGCTACTCTTAATAGACTAGCTACTGGAGACAGAATTTTGGCTTGGAATCCTCTTGCTAAGGTTACTTGTTGGTTGTGTGAGGAGATGAATGAATCTAGGAACCATATTTTTTCCGAATGTAAGTACTCAAAAGAAGTGTGGAGTGGGATTGTTGGTAATCTGGCTGGTATTGGAGGAATCTATAACTGGGATCGAGTGCTTCAGGTGGTGGTTAAAGGTTCACAAGAGAGAAATTCCACCTTTCTTTTGAGATACTGTTTCCAAGCTGTTATACACATATTATGGATGGAGAGAAATGGGAGAAGGGTCGGTGATGTGGAGCACCCTACCTCCTTTCTTATTCTGAGGCTGGACAATATTGTCAAAAACAGAGTTACCTCTCTTCAAAGGAAGAATAGGGTTAAATATGAGAAGGTAATGCAGGCTTGGTTTGGAAGATGAGAGGTGATCTGTGGGTTGTTTTTGCTGGGGGGTTTTTTGCTCGGTTTGGTGAGTTTCTTTTTCTTGAGTGTTTGTCTTGGTGGCTGGTGTTATCGGGTCAAGCATCCTCCTGAATATGAGATTTTCACTCTTTTTTCTTTTTAAGGTTTTGTCCCATTTGGTTTTTCCTTAATAAGGTTTTAATGAGGATCATCTCATGTTCATACCAAGATTGACTTGTTTCATATGGTTAATCTTGAGGGGGGATGCTTTTGAAAGTCTTTGACTCTTTGGGGTTTTTCTTTTTTGGCTTTGGCTTTTCTGGTCATAAGAGTTGTAATTGTTTCTTTTTAGTTTTGGTAGCACTAGTAACTCTGTAACTCTGTTTTTTTGTTTGAATAAATTTAAAATTCTTTCAAAAAAAAAAAATAATCTGACCATTGGATCAACCATTTTTTACGTATTTGACCCACTGTAGAAGTGTTTCAACACCTTGACACGTGACTTGACTTTAATTTACTAACAAAAAGTGAAACACTGGTGGAGCGAAAGAAAAATTTCTAACTGAATAGATATATTAAATATAAAATATTTTAAAGATAATATACCAATTTTTTTTAATTATCACTATATATATGTTTGAAAACCTTATAGACATTTTCGGCTCATGAAGTAAATTTCTAGATTAATTACAACTAAAATATCATAATTATATTTATCATTCATAACTTCATTTAATTAAATTTACAATAGATATTATTCTTAGTCGACTTCTAGAAATTAAAGAAATAGGTTATTCATGAAACACCGATACAGCATGGAAAGTGGAATTGAATCACAGGTGGAGCCGCTCACCTAGATATTTGACTCTCCATCTCCTCTGAGTACTAGCAATGACTGTCAACACCAAAGTCCTGTTCCATCTGCTTTTATGGCTGAAGGATTAGTGGTCAGGGAAGCTCTCTCACACACTAATCACCTCGGCGTCACCAAAATCTGGTTTTGTTCAGATTCTTTTATCGCTTGTTAGAGTTATAAATTCGATTACCAAACTGATGAACCTCTACGGAGTTCTATCCGATACTGGATCCTTACTTGATTTCTGCTTTGTTTCTTTCATTCTCAGAGTGCAACAATGGATCTACATATTGTTTAACTAAGGTCCGTCTCCTACTCTGTAACAGCTTAGGTATGAGGCCTTTTTCTTATTTTATGAATTTCAGCCTCTAAAAAAAGAGGTTATTCTCCTGTGATAATTATGTAGCTCTGCGATTTCAAAAGGAGCGCAAGAGGAGCAGAGAAGAGGAAAACGAGGCTTGGATGTGTTACCTAGATGCCTTGTTCGGAAACTCGCTAGGCGCTATGCATACGGTCGGATAGCGTCTAGCGCCGAATCAGTTAATCGGATATTATACAGGGATTAATCGAAGAGGAATTTTAGGGATTTTCTATGTGTTTATATGTTTTATATTTAATATGTGTACTAAAACCGTTTGTAGCACATAGGCTAGTCGTAATGTGCTTCCCATGACCCATTATAACCCTAGGTTCGAGGAGTGTTTGGAAAAGAAAAAAATGTCTTTATCTTCTATCTAAATCTCTGTAATTTTTTTACAGAATTACAGTCATCCTTCTTTTTTTTGCGATTTCATTGTTTAATCTAGTTATTCTTGATGATATTAACCATAATAGAATAGATCTAAGAGGTGTATGTGATTTGGGAACAGAAAACATATAAAAACGATAATTTAAAAAATAATTTCGATTAATTTTCCGATTAACACCAAATCGTATTGGTGGTCATTCGCCGCACGCATATCCGTCGATTAACCGCCCGCGGAGAACGCCTGAACAAGGCCTAGATGTAAAAGCAATCATAAATTCAATATAGAATTTGAGTTAAGATAATTTTCTTTTGGAAAGCTTAACCGAGAACGCAAGTGAAAATAATTTGTTATATGGAGGAAAAATATATAGCATAAACCAAATTAAAAAGATGAATGCACAAAATCAAAATAAAAGAAAGGAAAAATATCACGGCATTGACATCTGACAAATTTCAGAAGAAGGCAAAGGACCCAACCTTTGCTGAAGCCAACATCATCACAGCTCTTATTGCACCAGCCAGAAGACATCGAACCCGGTTCTGTACTGTGGCAGGATAACATTCTACCACTAGACCACTGGAGCGTTGATGTTGAAAGAAAACCGCATTCATTAATGAATTAGCCAAAATAGGAGCAACAGATGGAATGAAGTGAAATATTTAGGTGGACCACTTGCTAGTACAATGACATGGAAAGGGAAAGAGAGCATAAGATACAGTTTGGGGGACAATTATGATAAAACAGCCAGGCAGCATATCAGATAAGAAGAATAATAATTTGAACCTAACGCTTTCCATGTTGCTATGTGAGGTTGAAAACAAATTCAACCGTTTCATCACTGAACACTAAAGCTCCATTTTCACTTATGCAAAACCTCGATCAATGGAGACAACCTAAACCCTAAACCCCAAAGACCATACAAAACCAAAACAAATGCAAAAGCAGAAGATCGCCATTCTTGTTCTTTTGTCTCAGACGCTTACCTAAAACTATATCAAATACAAAACTGTACCTCTCACTCCTACTCTCACTCTTCTCCTCTTGGTTTCTTTACAGAACATATATTAAGATAAGGTAGTTATGAGAGTAGCTTTTTGTCTTCTTCATATCAGGTTGCAGCTTTCGGCTCTTCACAGGTTGCAGCCTCTCCTCCTTAAACATCAGCCACACCCGAACACTCTCTTCTTTTACACTCTTCTTTCTCAACCTCTCTGTTATAAGGATCACTGTTCAGATCAATCCTCCCTTCCTCCCGTCCGTTATTCTTATCACCCTCAGCCTGTTCCGTCGCTTCCTTGTTGTGCTCCTCATATGCTTCTGCTGCTGCTGCTATATCATCTCGCTCTAACTGCTTCTTCTTCCTCCTCATCATCAACGTCTTGAACCTTCTCTTCACTGTGCTGCACACTGTACACCCACAGGTGGGCTTGTGCCTACCTTTCCCACTTGGCGGCTGAATGCACACTATGCAAGAGCATCCAACCCTGTGCCTTGGATGTCTGGTCGTGGTCGCGACCTCTGTGTCGCCTAAAGCGTCTCCAAAGACTGCTGCACTCGCCGCACTCGCTAGTGCATACAGACCCGACGATTCTTCCTCTGTTTTGGCCGTCTGGCTCACCCCAGTTCTTCTCTTCTTGTACTCTAAAACATACACAAGACAGTTAGTGTACATGTATGACCTTGAACATCATCCATAAGAACATTCATACCTTTTCCTGCTCTAAGAACATTCTCAAGTTCTTTCAGACTCTCCTCTGGTGCAGAACACGAACACCTGCTCACGTCCCAAACATTGTCTGAACATGTCCACTTTGCGGGGAGAAGAGCGTTTACAGGTAACCTCCTCCATTTATTGCAGTCATCGCACGATGCCCATCGTTCTTGTTCACTGGTTCACAAAGATATTCGTTAGTTTATTTCTTTTGACTTGAGAAGTGTAAGAAAGAACTTACCCTGAAGGATTTGAAGTAATTATATTTCTCTTTCCAAATACAGGAGGTTCCTATGCATAACATAAAACAAGAAACAAGACTCATCTGAGGGCAGACAAGTACAAACTTACTGGTTATTCAATAATCAACCACTTACGTCAAATTCTTCAAATTCATGCTCCTTGATGACGACAACGGTGGGCTTAGCATTAGGAGAGGGACGAAGCAACTCCTGAGCTTCTTCCCAAGTGAGTCTCAGCTCCATAGATTCTTCACTATGCAGAAGCAGTCCCTTATTTTTAGCCCCAATGGTCCGAGTCCTCTTCTTTTCCTTATTAACCCGTGAAGGAACATCACAAATCCTGCCTCCATTCATCTCACTCTTCTTCAAGCTCAAATGCTCAGGCAGACCTTTCAGTTCTTCCGGAATTTGTGAGGGACACGAGGAAGCATTTATGGAGGTCGGATTCTCTGTAACACCAGAGGATGATGTGTCTTCGTTTGAAGTACCGTTGGTGAGACCACACGCCTGCATGTCTCCAGTATAAATTGCCTTCCTGGCACCCATGATTAGTTTACCACCAGGATCAACTCGGCTGAATGTTACTGTATATTATAAACAAAGGCGAAGAAGAATTGCCACACAATGAGAGAGCGCACAAAAAACAAGAATGTATTCAGAATCTATATAGAGCTGCCGAGCAGTACCTGTATCACCAGCCTGTAGCCTCATGGACTGTATGCAGGGAGTGACACCTTCTAAGACATACATTCTACTGTTGTTGTTAGGCCAGAATCTGAACTGGAACGTCCACTCCTTACCCCTCACATCTTGTATTTTCAAAGGGATCCCTTCTGAATGACTAATGTGAGGAAAATATGCCTATACACACCATGCCACACTTCAGTCTTAGAGAGATATCTCAAGGACAAAGGGAATCAGAAAGTTACCTCTGCACAGGCTTTTGGAAGAACTAAACGACCAATGCGACCGGCATCACTAGCACTAAGAGTTTTCTCAAAAAGAGGTACAATGTTCATTTTCAAACTACAAAGAAACTGTTAAGGAAAAACACGGAGTTTGTGTCCAAAGAAAAATGTTTAGCAAAGAAAATAAGGATACTTTCCAGAGATCTGCTGAAGCTCTCTATCAGTGTATTTTGGCCAATAGCGAGGAAGTAAATGTCCTTTCCCACGCCCTTCCACAGGAGGCCTCCCGATCCTGGCCTGAGCAGACTTACTAGTCCCAGGAGGAGTTCCAAGAACAGATTTTAAAGGCTTTTGCAGTATAATAGAAGCAGAGCATTGGCCAATGTGGGACTGAGAAGCAGCACCCATTAGTTTCTTCCCATCAACGACAGGACTTGCAAAAGATGGGCTATAAGGAAGTAGTGCCAAAGCTATATTCAAAGATGGCTGTGAAGGTGTTGATGACGATTCGTGCATTTGCCCAGTGGTGGAATTACTATTCTTATCTGGTTGTATAAAACAACCAAACCCACGGTGACCCATGAACTCTTCTCTTTTATCATCCCCATTGACTAGTGGCTGAGGAAAGAGATCAGTTTCGTTTCTTACTACTCCATCAATAGTACACATTCCACTTTCCACATTTGTATGGTGCCTGTTCATTACCAATCTGCTAAACACACCTGCATTCTCACCTCTCTTATTCTGCAACGAAAAGAGAATTGTTTAAGACACAGAACAACAACAACTTGTAATAATATATAAAAACTCACCAGATTGAGTTGATGGGAGTTGGTACATGAAGTACAACCAACACCACCGCAGTCCATAAAATCGACCATGAGCTTAGAGGCAACACATCCACAGTGAAGTCTCTGTCATTACACAATCTCAATCAAACCAACATTGCAGAGTTTTTTTTAAATACTAAAAAGAGAGAGTATTTAAAACCAAACCAACCTTGTTGCATAAATAGCACTCCCTCCAACCAGATTGCTCCATATGGAATGTTTCGCAGAACAGGGAAGTCTCATAAGCGGATCTATAAACACAATCATTGCAAATCAAACATCTTTATGTACCAAAGACAATCATTTATGTCTGTATTAAAAATATTGTGCTATTTTAAGGATTGGTCAAACCATCTACGTAGTTAAATAAAACAAACACAATTATGTAATGTATCAGTGTTGTACTATCAAAAGAGCCAGAATTGGTAAAAGAATAAGCAGTAAGGAATTTAATAAACAATCTACGTAGTCAAAGACAAGAACAAAACAGGTAAATATCGAGACTTTGTGTCCAATGAGCAACGAAAGTTCGCTGTTATTAGTGAATTGAAGAGTGAAATTACCCGCAACGATAACAGAGATCAGCGAGAGAACCAGATCGAAGAGGCCAACCTTTCTTCCATTCAACAGTGGACGTCGCGCCACAAGATGCGTTCATGCACGCCTTTGACCCCATTTTGACTTCAAACATCCTCAAAGTCACCACCAGATTTTTCCAAATCGAAATCGAAAATCTTAAAACCCTAGCAGTACCGGAGATATAACGAATCGGAGGTGGAATGACGTGAATTGGAGAGGAGACTAGTCATGCACATGCATCGACGTGGTCAATCCAAGTCAGCGTTAGGAGATCAGAGGAGGTTGAGTGAAAATCACGGCGGGGAGTATAAGACGGCGAATTGACAGAGAGGGGACTGTAACGGCGACGACGTTTTTTTCGATGTAGAACTAAAACTATAGGTCAGATAAAGAGAGAGAGACGGAGATGAGATATAAGAGAGAGAGCATGCAAGGGAAGAGAAGGGATTGAGAGGAAAATAAACGCATAAAATGCATGCAGCACACGCCGCTTAAGACCAAAGTAAAATTATAACAGATAGAGATTGGATGTGAAACAAAGTGAAAGACTTTTTTGTGTTTTTTTCTTCCCTTTTTGACTTCTTTTTATTTACATTTATTTATATACATGAATTAGGATTGGTATGAATCATGCTTTTGGAAAATAAGATATACTCCAAATTAATGGCTATGATGACGTATTCTAATTTATTTTATTTTATGTATGTTGATGCTTGTTGATCAAAAAAAAAAAAGAAAAAAAAAAAGAATATCATAAATGTAGAATGCCATGCATGACACTCACACATAGAAGACTTTGATCGCTTCATTGACTCGGATATTTTGAGGGCATGTAAACAAATTTGGGATACTATAACCAACACCTACATAGTAGGCATGGGTGTTCTGGTAACAAATCCGTTTTGTTTTGGGGTCAATTTGGTTTTGGGTTTTGTGGGATATTATAAAAGTTTGGTTAGATACCGATTCAAATTTTCTTGAATTCGGTTCGATATATTTACACTTTGGGAATTTGGTTGAACCCATTTTAAATTCAGATTCGGTTCTAATATGATTTCGGTTATCCAAATACTTACATGCGACTCAAAAATTATATATTTAAATTCAAAAACTTGAAAAAATCAAACAATTTGCATTAACATAAAATTGGCGACACGATTAAGAACTATTTTTATCAACAAGAAATGATTGTTAAGAAAAGAGAAATATAAAAAAAGTTACAACTAACCAACTAATAGCTCTATAGATGTAGGAAACATCATTCAAATTTTTAAATAAAATAATTGTGAAATTTTGGAAGAAAACTTTATTATAATCAAAATTTAAGTGTAATTGTCAAAACATAAAATTCTCAATATTTGACTAGTTGTCAAAATATACATTGAATCAAATATTGGAGTTAGTTTCATGTTATAAATATTTATTAGGATATTTATTAAGAATTGAGTTTATGTTTAGTACGAGGTTTTTTTGGTTTTTGAAATTTTTTGGGTTTGTTCGGATTGGGTTCGGTTTAGACAAAACTCAGAACTCAAAATATGGTAGAACAAGATCTGTTTGGATATTGTGTCGGGTTCACTTCCAGGCTCAGTTTTTTACGCCTAACTATATAGTATCCGAATTCGTTTTAACTTTTATAAAAGACATAATTTGTAAATATGATATCTTTTTATTTGAAAAGCATGATAAACTGTATTTCATAATTCATTTTTTTTATAAATATGAAAATTCTCTGTCTAAATAGCTAATAAGCAAATGACACACTACAAGAAAACAAAATTTTAACTACAAAAATTAACAAGGAAATAAAGTTCTCGTAAATTTACGTGGAGTTAACGAGTGTCTTACGAGGAAATATTGAATACACGTAAATTCGTCGTTAATTCACGAGGAAAAGTTTTCCTCGTAAAAAAGACGTTTATTAGTCTCATTATTTTCTCGTTAAAGGATTTCCTCGTAAAGTACACGCAACATTAGCGAGTACTTTACGAGTAAATCCTTTAACGAGGAAATAACGAGTCTAACAACTTTTTACTTGTAAACGTGTTTGTAGTGTTCTATTTTTCCTCGTAAATTCAAGGTAAAATGTTACCTACCAACTTTCAAAATTTCCTATAAATATGTCATTTCGGTTTCAAATTAAACACACCAACAAACTGAAAACGTAAAAGAGAGAGAAAAAAAAACTTGAAAGAAAAAAATGTCTGGTGATAGAAATATTTTGAGAGTTGGAGGTGGATGTATACACATAGAGATGGTAACGGGAGGATGACGAAATAATTTCTCGAAGGGCTGGAGACATTTATGCATCAAGCAGATTCTACACCGCTCACGCAGAAAAGCGGTAAGATGTTTTGTCCTTGTCGGAAATGCAACAATTCAAAATTAGGTCCACGTGAAAATGTTTGGAAGCATTTAGTAAATAGAGCTTTCATGCCACATTACTATATTTGGTTTCAACATGGAGAAGGTTATAGTTGTGGGAATGAAAGTAGCAGTAGTAATAGCAATTTTCATGTTGAAACGATTGATCATTTGTAGAATGAAAATAGTTACCATCAGGTGGAACATATGGTAGATTATGATAGGGTTCATGATATGGTCGGTGATGCATTTGTAGCTCATGATGATAGGGTTCATGATTGATCATTTGTAGAATGAAAATAGTTACCATTAGGTGGAACATATGGTAGATTATGATAGGGTTCATGATATGGTCGGTGATGCATTTGTAGCTCATGATGAAGAAGAACCTAACATAGATGCAAAAAAGTTTTATGAAATGTTAGATTCTGTGAATCAGCCAATTTACAGTGGTTGTAGAGAAGGTCTCTCTAAAATGTCGTTGGCTGCTAGAATGATAAATATTAAAACCGATCACAATCTACCTGAAAAATGCATGGATGCATGAGAAGAATTTTTTAAAGAGTATTTGCCGGAAGACAATGTGTCTGCTGATTCTTATTATGAGATTCAGAAATTAGTTAATAGTCTTGGGTTGTCTTCGAAGATGATAGACGTTTGCATCGACAATTACATTATTTACTGGGGAGATGATGAGAAGTTAGAAGAATGTCGATTATGCAAGAAGCCACGATTCAAACCATAAGGACGAGGGCGTAATAGGGTACCATACCAGAGGATGTGGTACCTACCAATTACAAACAAATTGAAAAGATTGTACCAATATGAGGAGACTGCTGAAGGGATAAGATGGCATGCCGAGCATACTCAGACGGAGGGTGAGATGACTCATCCATCAGATGCAAGAGCTTGGAAATTTTTTAACAAAGTACATCCAGACTTCGCTAGCAATAGCTGGAATGTGTATCTTGGATTATGCACGGATGGATTTAATCCATTTGGAATGTCGGGGAGACAATATTCATTGTGGCCAGTCTTTCTTACGCCATACAACCTGCCACATGAGATGTGCACGCGAGGGGAGTTTCTATTCATGTCCATATTAATATCTGGTTTGAAGCATCCAAAAAGGTCTCTCGATGTTTTTTACAACCTTTGATAAAAGAGTTGAAAGATTTGTGGTCAAGAGGGGTGAGGCGTATGATTGTTCAACAAAAATAAATTTTACGATGCGAACGATGCTTCTGTGGACCATACATGACTTTCCTGCATATGGGATGTTGTCTGGATGGACTACACATGGGAGATTATCTTGTCCATATTGTAATGGAATGACAGATGCGTTCCAGTTTAAGAATGCTAGAAGAAAAGTTGGTTCGATTGTCACCGTCGATTTCTTCCCATTCACCATCCGTACAGAAGAAACAAGACATTGTTCAGGCATAAAAGGATTGTGAGAGACACTCCTCCTCCATATTTAACTAGAGAAAAAATAGAAGCCCAAATCGATTACTACTGTGCTTTAGAAACCGTTCCTCGTGGTGGTAATTGGCATGTCCCCAATAATATACCTGATTATAACGGTGTTCAGCACAACTGGCACAAGAAGATTATATTTTGTGATTTACCATATTGGAAGGATCTTCTTTTGCGTCACAACCTCGATGTGATGCATATAGAGAAATTTTTTTCGAGAATATCATGAACACAGTTTTGAATGTCCCACGAAAGACGAAAGACAACATCAAATCGAGGTTAGACTTGCCTGATATTTGCGCACAAAGTGAGTTACATATAAAAAGCAATGGAAAAGTTCCAGTTCTGATATTCAAACTGTCATCAGAACAAAAGTTGGTGTTATTCAATTGGGTGGCATTAGAAGTGAAGTTTCATCATGGTATGTTTCAAATCTTTCTAGATGTGTTGAAAAAGGTCAAAAGTTCTCCGGGATGAAGAGTCTTGATTGTCATGTCTTTATGCGACGACTACTCCCCTTTGCATTTGCGTAGCTACTACCAACAAAAGTACATGAAGCACTTGAAGTTAATATATATATATATATATATATATATATTTAACATATGCACTAATAAATAATACGACTACTAATGTGATTTTATTTTTCAAATATACAAGGAATTGGAGCATTTTTTAGGGATCTAAGCACACGCACTCTTAAAGAGGATGTCGTTCAACAACTTCATGAGAACATTCTCATCTTACTTTGCAACTTGGAGAAAATATTTCCGCCAACATTGTTTGACGTCATGGAGCATCTAGTTGTCCACCTCCCGTATGAGGCATTGCTTCGTGGACCTGTACATTTCGGATGGATGTATCAGTATGAGCAGGCCATGAAAACTTTGAAAGGAAAAGCTAAAAACTTCGCAAGGGTTGAAGGATCTATAGTTGCCGGAATTTTGTCGAAAGAAACATCACACTTCACATCATACTACTTTTCACCGAAAGTACGTACCTGGAAACGAGTTCCAAGAAGATATTATGATGGTGGTGTTGTCCCAACATATTTGGAAAAAGATGTTCCAGATATCTTTTGCCAAATTGAGCGATTTTGAGGGAAATTGAAAGAGGCTTGGTGGTTGAGTGATGAAGACCTCCATAGTGCACACATTTATATACTTCTCAATTGCGAGCATCCATTGATTCGCTGTTTTGAAAGGTACGTACGTAGTTAACATATATATATTGAATTCATTAATTAACAAAAACTTTTTACAGCAAATTTGT